AGCTACAACGTATTATAATGTAAAAAGCTAACTTTAACTTCTATCTTGATGAATCCAATCTATTAACTTTTCTATTTATCCTCAACCAATCACCAGTTGTCATCTAATTGACTCTGACTTATGGCAACCCCATGTATGTCAGAGTAGAACTGTTCTCCATGAGGTTTCAAATGGCTGATTTTTCCATGGAGGTCACCAGACTCTTCTTGCAAGATACTTCTGGATGATCTCGAACCTCCAACATTTTTGTTAGTAGCCAAGCACATTAGCACATTAGGTTGAATGGTGCTCTGGGCATGGCTGATGTTAGCCATTAATAATAATGAGTGGTTATTATCAGAGAACCACCCAAGGACCCCTCTTAACCATCCCCTCTGCCTTAAAAGGTACAATGAGGAAGGGATGGGAAGGGGATCTTTTATTGGATCCCAGTTAGAAGGACATCTGTTCATAGAAAGGACAGTTAAGTTAATAGGTATTGGGCTACCTTGGTCCATTCTTGGCCCCACCATGGACCCCTGTGCATGTCTACAGTAAGTCCCCCTCTAATCCTATTCCCTTGTGTCTTTAATTCAAAGAGAATAAAATGGACATCTTTCCTTGCTAATGTCATGAACACTAACTGGATGCTGTTAGCCTTGAGTTTTTTGGTAATAGGCACATGATTGAAAAAACAGATGGTTTACATGGGGCCTTTTGAATCACAAGTAGATCAGTGCCCACCACCTGCCTGTGTCTGGTAACATAGAGGGCCAATAAAAACAAAAAGGCCATCCATGAGATGGATTGACACAACAGCTATAAAAATGGACTCAAAAATATTAATGATCATGAAGATGGTGCAAGAATAGGCAACATTATTTCCTTCTGTTGTACATAAGATCACCATGAGTTGGAGCCAACTCAATGGCAATTAACAACAACAAATCAATGCCAACTGGACAGTGGCAGGATGCTCTAGGGGGCCTGGAAAACTGAGAGGTAAACGGAATATTAAATTGTGAGTCATTTTAATCATAATCATGATATGCCAAAAGCCTGCAAAAATGTGATTCAATCTAGTAGATTGTGAAAACCCCTCCAGGAGACTCTCTGATGTACTAGTCCAGCAAGCCACCACTATTGCGCACAGGAAAGTGGTTTTACAAAGTCACACTTGTGATAATGAAGGAAAGTGAGAAACACTGGATTGACAACGGTCACCAGTTTTAAATTCCTCACTCTATGGCTATCTCTCCTCTTCATTTAAGCATTTTACAAAAAAATTGTGGAAAAAAATGACAAGATGCTCAATCTTCTGTAAAATGAAGTATTTTAGCGCTTCACCACTGGCCTTATTTCCAGAGCACTAGATCTGTTTTTGTTTATAAACACAATCAATGCAAAAATATATATATAACTATCAAGCTTGAAAGTAACAAATAGCATAGGCTGAGATCTGTTGTTGTTTTTTAAAGTACTAGGGGGAAAAAAAAAACACTGGCATCAAGTCAATTCTCACTCACAGTGACTCTACAGGACAGAGTAGAACTGTCCCATAAGGTTTACAAAGCTGTAAATCTTTATGGAAGTACATTGCCTCATCTTCTTCCCATGGTGCAGCTGGTGGGTTCAAACCACTGACCTTTTGGTTAGCAGCCAAATGCCTTAACCACTGCACAACCAGAACTCTCTAAAAAGTACCATAACCAACAAAAACCAAACTCACTGCCGTTGAGTCGGATCTGACTCATAGCGACCCCTCCTTGGGTTCCTGAGGCAGTATCACTACGGAAGTAGATTGCCCAATCTTCCTTCCAAAGAGTGGCTAGTGGGTTTGAACCGCCAGCCTTCTGGTTAGCAGTCAAATGCCTTAGGCACTACACCATCAGCGCTCCTAAAAAAAGTACTATAAGGAACAATAAATATCACTTTCATGGTACCTGATTAGTTTATTGGCATAGCATATCTCTTCTATCTACCATTACCCAATCACAGTTTACTTTTTCAAAAATAATGATGGTATGATTTTTCAATGACCCCATACCAAGGACCAGGAGTCCCTGGGTGGTACAATGGTTAATGCACCTAAATACTAACCAAAAGGTTGGAGGTTCACGTATACCCAGAGATGCCTTGGAAGAAAGACCTGGTGATCTACTTCCCAAGAGTCAGCCACTGAAAGCCCTATTAAGCACAGTTCTGCTCTGACACACATTGGTTCACCATGAGTTGGAATTAACTCAGTATCAACTGGTTTTGTTTCATACCATAGACCAAGAGATAAAACAGAATGAATGCCTAGAGACTGTTTGTGGTTTTTTTTTAAACAGATTTTTGAGAGATCTTCAGGGTGAATCATGTAAGAACTGTATGCAATAAACAAGCACATACATTATAGAGTTACATCATCAGATGACATCCAAGGGAAAGCCAAAGGTTAATTGCTATGGTTTACTGCACCACTACACATGACCCTGTGCAAGAAGATTTAACGACAACCATTTGAACTCTACAGTCTAAAATTTCATGTATTTGCTTCATGAGTACTTTTTAATTATTCCTCTGAGGATATTAATATTGGCTTCTTCTTTTTTTTTTTTTAATTACTCTCCAGAAGAGATAGTGGTTTCATGTTTTCTCCCTTCTTTAAGATAACCATGTCCCTGTCTGGCCAGCTCAGACACTTTTATTCCCTTTAACTTCAGTAATTAAGTTAGAAGACATAGATATCAACAGAGATCTTCAAGAACTCAGATTCTGGAATCAGGTTGCCTAGTTCAAATCCCAACTCCACCGTCTAACAGTGTTTAACAGCAAACAAGAGACCAAAGCTCCCTAAAGCTCAGTTTCTTCATCTGTAAAGTAGGAACACTAGTAGTAATCTCTTAAATTGTTGGAAGATTGAAATAGATAATGAATGTAAACATTTACCTCAGAACTTGCATACGGTAAACATTCAAATAATATTGTTTTCACAATGTTTTAAAATACTATTTTTTTTCCATGAAAACAATTTCAGAATTGTTTTCTCAGATTCCACAGTGAATAAGGTAGAAACGAAGGGAGAATAGCAACAACACAATACAGTGCCTCAAAGCAACAGCACCATCTCTATCGTGCATAATTCCCTTAGCATCCCCCTGAATTCACTGAGCACCTTTGAAATTAGCAGGGCAGACACTGGGTGCCCTGCAGAATACACAAGAGCTGTGGTGCAGCCACTCTTCTCAGTCTAGTTAGGAGAGGAAACACACACACTCACAAAGAGATCACCATGATGCCTTGTACTTGTGCTACAGGTTCCTATATATGGTGGGCAAAAGAAAAGCCTGAATTTTGTAGAAAGCTACAAAAGTACAGAGATGTCCTCCAAGCTATGATAGCAAATCAGTGAGAGCTATAAAGTGAGCCTGGGATATCATATTCATTTGGCTTAACATGGAGATGCTGTTTGTAGCAATAAGCTCATCGGTGGAGGTGTTTGGCCTCAGACTGCCAATAGAATTGCAGTCTTAGAATGAGAGAATGTTCCGGTTGAGAGAAACTTTAAAAAAGCCTTTGTTGTTGTTGTTGTTGTTATGTGCCATCGAGTCGGCCCCGACTCATAGCGACCCCTCCTTGGGTTTCCGAGGCAGTATCACTACGGAAGTAGGATTGCCCAACCTTCCTTCCGAGGAGTGGCTGGTGGGTTTGAACCGCCAGCCCTCTGGTTAGCAGTCAAGTGCTTTAGCCACTATGCTACCAGAGCTCCTTTAGGGTTATTTAATCCTTCAATGTTCACAAGAAGGACAATGACACTTGGCCTCCCACTCATACACTCATACAAACATGATACCCTGGATACTGCCAGAGGGAGGGGACTCAAGGAGGAGGAGTGAAAAATCAAAGGAGTCCCAGAAAGGCAATACCTGACATACAACTACCACCTATGAAACAAGCCTAAGCCATGCTGAGTGTTGAATGTTAGTCCTTCCTCTCAAATGTCCCCTCCCTCCATTTACGGCTGTCACAAAACACAGAAAGCCAGAAGTCAGGGATATTTCTTCTGTACAGTGTCTATATCTGCCCTTGTTGCTTTCTCTGTGACCTGCTGACAACCACCAAAGCATTAAGCACCAAACCTCCAGCATTAAGCCAGTATATTTTAGAAGGCAGACAGCCTCCCTCGGGAGCATCATTCATTTCAGGCCACTTTTCAGGGGCAGGGAAAAGACTGAGGTACTACTTTGGGACAAAATATGAAAGCACCTTGGGAGCTGTGGTTAAGTGCTCAGCTGCTAACCGAATGGTTGGCTGCTAACTGAAAGGTCAGTGTTTCAAACCCAGGAGCCGCTCCGCAGAACCATGTGGTAGCCTGCTTCCATAAAAATTACCCAAAATCCACCTTGCGGTCGAGTCATTCCGACTTATAGCATCCCTACAGCACAAAGTAAACTGCCCCCACAGGGTTTCCAAACCCGTAAATCTTTACAGAAGCAGTTTGCCACATCTTTCTGCCATGGAGCGGCTGTTGGTTCCAACCGCCCCATCCGTCTGTTATCAGCCAGCGCTTATTCTCACAGCCAAATAAGTACCCTAGTCTTTCGACAAAGCCCCACCTCCCACCCCCAACCACAACCCTATCGCATCCAGATACAAGGCAGATTTACGTTTTGTACCAAAACAAAACAAAACAAAAAAAAAACCCTTGTCATCCAGTTGATTCCGACTCATACATTACAACCTTGGAAACCCTATGGCATTCTACTCTGTCCTATAAAGTCGCTATGAGTCAGAAGCAACTTGATGGCAAGGGGTTTGATTTTTTGTTGTTGTTTGGGACAAAATATTAAGTCTGCTAGGCACCTGGATGCGATGGGGTCGGAGTGGAGGGCACAGTCTTTAGACCAGGATACTTGTTAGCTACGGGAACCCTTTCCTACTTCCAGCCACAGAAGACAGGCAGTCTGAGGGTGCTGGTTCTAGCTATTGCTAAAGAAGCCGACCAAATCCTAGCGTATGGGCATCGACGCACTTACCTTGGTCCAGGAGACCGTGTAAGAGACCTGCGGGTCCCAGGGGGCGGTGCAGGGCAAGTCCACGTCCTCGGAACAAACCACCTTCACGTTTCGCGCTGCGGGCACCAGGCTGCAGGCTGCAAGAGAAAGCAGGGCACGCTCCGTGAGCAAGAGAGAACTAGGTGTGCCGCGCAGAGGCTGGGGGCGACTGGCGTGCTCGGGCCCTACCGCAGCTCAAGAGCAGGAACTGAAGGCCGCGTGACATGGCTGGAGCGCTGCGCCGCTGCCTCAGGCTGCCGGTTCTGGCGCGCTGGCGCTGCACAGCCCTCTTGTACCAGTGCGCACAGAGACTTCCCCGCTGGCAACACCCCCTGGAACCCGGGGGCCGGGGATTCCCCCGCGCGGCGGAAGCGGGAGGGGCGCCCTACCCCGCCTAGCTGCAGCCGGGGCGCCCCCGTCCTGTCCCAGCACCCCTCTCCCGCCTCGCGCGCGTCTCGGCCCCCGCGCGCCGCCTCCCGGCCCAGCTGGCCCAAGTTAGCGTCGTTGCTTGCTGGGCTGCGGCGGTGACAACCCCTGCGTAACGCGCTGGGCTATGGGCTATGCAAACCGCGCTCGTGAACAGGACTCCGACTCATTTGACTTCAAAGCCGGGAAAGAGGCCCATTTTACAGAGGCGAAATCATACTCTAGAGAGGTTGAGCAGCATCCAGAAGCGCCCAGCCTGCCAATGTTGATGTCACTGGGGAACCCGGTCCTCGTATCTCTCCAGATTCTAGGGTAATCGAAGACTCGTTAGATTTTTTTTTCCTTTCTTTCTTTAGTCATGTGAAATTCACATAACGTGAAATCAATCATTTAAACTGAACAATTCAGTGCCATTTAGTACGTTCACAATGTTGTGCAACCCCCGCCTCTATTTGGCCTGCTTAGAATATTTAAAGGAGCCCTCCACAGGTCTGCAGTACTTAGTACTTAGCTCCCTGCCTCCTGCAGTGGTCTCTTGCACCTTGTTTATAAATTATTTCAGCAGAGGAAAACCCTTCATATATCATATGTCAAACGCTGGGCTGCTAACTGAAACGTTGGCTGTTCAGTCCACTAAGAGGTACCTGGGAAGAGAAACATGGAGATCACCTTAAAAAAATCAGTCACTGAAAATGCTGTGGTTCACAACAGTCCTATCTGCAACCAATCATGGGGATGGTGCAGGACCAGGCAGCACTTTGTTCAGTTGTGCATGGGGTTTCCATGAAATCAGACAACTGTAGGGTAGATTTTATATGTGTGTATATATATATATATATATATATTCCACTGCCATCAAGTCAGTTCTGACTCATAGTAACCTCCATTGGATTTCCAAGGCTGAAAGTCTTTAGGGAAATAGATTGCTTCATCTTCCTCAAACAGAGCAGCTGGTGGGTTTGAGCAACTGCCCTTCCTATTAGTAGCCAAATGCCTTACCCACTAGGCCACCAGAGCTCCTTATATATACACGTATACACACAGAATTTTGGGAAAGACAAAAGAAAATTCTAGAGGAAAATAGAAACCGCCTATCATCATTCCAGAAGTAACTTCTATTAACGTTTTGGTGTATTTACTTCAATTCATGTTGTTGTGTGTTGTCAAATGGATTCTGACTCATAGTGATCCTGTATGACAGGGCAGACTGCCACATAGGGTTTCCTACCTGTAACCTTACTGGACCAGATGACCAGGCCTTTTTCTAGCTAATAAGTTTGAATTGCAGATCTTTGGGTTAGCAGCCAAGTGGTTTGACCATTACCACCAGGGCTCTTTGTTCAAACCTGATGAACTAACAATTCCACTGCATTAATTAGTGGAATTGTATCTTCTCCAAAATGTATGTACCATGTACCCCTTTTCACTCCCCTCTGTAGTGCTTACATTGTCAGATTGATTTATTTATTTGTTTTTATTTTGCCAATCTAATGAGTGTGCAGTGTTGAATTTATATTACATTGATTACTGTTGTTGTTGTTGTTGTGTGCCGTCGAGTCGGCCCCGACTCATAGCGACCCCTCCTTGGGTTTCCGAGGCAGTATCACTATGGAAGTAGGATTGCCCAAGCTTCCTTCCGAGGAGTGTCTGGTGGGTTTGAACCGCCAGCCGTCTGGTTAGCAGGCAAGTGTCTTAGCCACTATGCTACCAGAGCTCCCACATTGATTACTAGGAGACATCTTTTCGTATGTTTAAAGACCATTTGGTTTCTGCTTCTGAGAATTCATATCCTTTGGCCTTTTTCATTGGAGTTGTTTAAAAGTTCTGGGCTAACTTCTTTCTTGGTTACATGCATGCCAAATATTGTCTACAAGTCGAAGTTTTGTATTTTTAACTCTGCTTATGGTATCTTTAATGTACGAAAGTTTTTTTTAATGGTTTAATGTAGTGAGATTTATCAGTCTTTTCATTTATGATTGTGCTTCTAGTATTGAGTTTCAGAAATCTTTCCCTACCCTGAGATCATAAAAATATTCTCCTTCACTTTTCTCCAAAATTTTTGAAGTCATGCTTTTCACATTTAGATCTTTAATCTATTTAAGTATGGCTTGAAGTAGGAATCGAACTTCATTTTTTCCATATGGATAACCAATTGTTCTGATGCTACTTGCTAAAAAACTCATCTTTCCCTACTGATTTGAAATGACATTTTTTGTTATATACAAATTTCCATACATAGTCTGTTTCTAAACTCTCTATTCCATCTCAGCCTGTACTAATATCACAATTTTTTATTACTATACTAGGAGCTCTGGTAGCATAGTGCCTAAGGCACTTGACTGCTAACCAGAAGGCTGGCGATTCAAACCCACCAGCCACTCCTCGGAAGGAAGGTTGGGCAATCTACTTCTGTAGTGAGATCGCCTCGGAAACCCAAGGATGGGTCGCTATGAGTCGGGGCCGACTTGACGGCACATAACAACAACAACAACAACAACAACATGGTTGCACTACGCCACCAGAGCTCCTTTTGCACTCACATAGTTTTGTTTTACTAAGTCTTGCTATGTGGTGGAGCATGTTGTTGTTTTGTGCAGTCAAGTCGTCTCTGACTCATAGTGACCCCATGTACAACAGAACGAAACACTGCCCAGTCCTATGCCAACTTCACGATCCCTACTATACCTGAGCCCATCATTGCAGCCACCGTGTCAGTCCATCTCTTTAGGGCTTTCCCCTCTTTCATTGATCCTCCACTTTACCAAGCATGACATCCTTCTCCAGAGAATGGTCCCTTCTGACAACATGATCAAAGTAGATCACACAAATATGGTACAGTATATGAGCCCCCATATGTTGAATTTCCTTGTCAAAATGGTCTTGACATTCTTGGTTCTTTGTGCTATGAATCTCAAAACATCTTGCTTGAGTATTAATAGGAAGTATAGTCAATTCAAATAAAAACTCCAAAACCGAACTTACTGCCATCGAGTCAGATCTGACTCATAGTGACCCCTCCTTGGGTTTCCGAGGCAGTAGGAGCTCTTTTATGTGAATTGGTGTAATGGTTAAGGTACTTGGCTGTTAACCAAAAGGTCAATGGTTCAAACTCAGCAGCTGCTCTGCAGAAGAAAGATGAGACATTCTGCTTCTGTAAAGATTTACAGTCTTGGAAACCCAATGGTGGTCACTATGAGTTGGAAACAATTCGATGGCAGTGAGTACGTTCCATTTATATATTGCAGGAAATCAACAACTTTAGAAAATTGATCCAACAAATCCATTAATTCTATGTATCTTTCCATTTGTTTAGGTCTTCAAGAAATTATAAATTTTTTATCCGTAAAGGTTTTCCACATGTTTTGGTAGATTTATTCCTAGATAGATAGGTGGCTGCCGTTGAGTCAGCTCCAACTCATGTCAACCTTATGTACAACAGAACAAAACACTGCCCAGTCCCAAGTCATCCTCACAATCACCAGCATGTTCCAATCTGTCATTGTGGCTGTTTCTCCAGTACATCTCATCAAGGGTCTCCCTCACTCTGACTGGCCTTCAACTTCACCACACATGATGTGCTCCTCTACCAGTTGAACCTCCCTGATGAATGTGTCCAAAGCAAGCCAGTCAGACATAGTTCTGTTGTGATTCCTAATATTTTCGTTGGCTAATTTTCACAAGTAGATCATAAGGCCTTTCTTCCTAGTCTGTCTTAGTCTGGAAGCTCCACTGAAATCTGTCCACCATGGGTGACCCTGCTGGTATCTGAAATATTGGTGGCATAGCTGCCAGCAACATAACAATAAGCAAGCAACCACAGTAGGAAAATCTGACAGATGGTGATAGAGATTTCTTCCCAAGAATATTTATATTTTTGGTTGCTATTTTCACATATATATTTTCTAAACTATACTTCTCTAATTGTTTATTGCCAACAAATAGAAATTTACTTTTGTACAGTCATCAATCTTCCTAAACTTTCTTATTAATTATAACAGTTTGTTCTTAGACTGTCCATTAAGACACTTCTTTAGTGATGAATTATTGAGAAGGTTTAAAAAAAAAAAAACTCCAAATACATGGTCTGTTTGTTTTGAATTGTTATCACTGGAGTCTAATAGTTGAAGTGTGGTCAAGAATGTGGTCTGAATGATCTTGGATGGCTTACCAAAAGTTGCTTTGTGGCTTTATGCATAATCTTTTAGTAAATGTGTCATATGATCTTGCAAAGAATGTGTACTCTGTTCCTATCTTTTTAATCAAGCTCATTGTGTTGTTTAGATCTTCCATATCCTTACTAAATGTTCGTCATCTTGAACTATCAATTACTGAAAGAGATATGTTAACATCTCCCAAGTGACTATGGATTTGTCTCTTTACCTTTGAAATTCTGTCAATTTTCCTTCATATAATTTGATGCTATGTTTCAGGTGACTGCAAGTTATAATTATATCTTCCCAATGTATTGTTCCCTAATATTCCTGTTTGTTTCAAAGTCAACCTTGTCTGTTCTTATTATAACCACACACTTTCTTTTGCTGATATTTCCAGTATTTTACCCTCAACATTTTTCTATTCATAAATTTTAAGTGTGACTCTTTTAAACAGCATACAGTTAGATTCTCTTAATCCAATCTGACCCACCATCTGTCTTTTAAATTGAGAGTTTAATTTGTTTACTTTTCTCTGAATTTTGCTATATTAGGATTTATTATATTAGGCATTTTATTTCATGGTTTATGTTTACCCTGATTTTTCACTGCTTCTTTTTTCCTCTCTTGCATCTATTTTACAGAGCAA